TCTTTTTTTTCTTTAATTTCTTTTTTATTTTTTTAAGACAGGGTAAGGGAGAGAGAGAAACATTATTGTGAGAGAGAAAAACATCAATTGGTTGCCTCCCATACATACCCCAAATGAAGATTAAAACTGCACCCTGGGTATGTATCCTGACTGGGAATCAATTCCACGACCCTTTGGTCCAGGGCAGAATACTCCAACCACCTAAGCCACACAGACCAGGGCAGATTCTTTCTTTAGTATCTTATAATTTTCCAAATACAGGTCTTTTACGTCCTTGGTTAAATTTATTTGTAGGTATTTTTTTTTTATGGAGTTCTAAATGGGGGATTGTTTTATTCTTTTTTTTTTTTAAATTCTCACCTGAGGATATTTTTTCCATTGTTTTTAGAGAAAGTGGAAGGAAAGAAGTGGGGAGGGGGTGGGGGAGAGAGAGCAAAACATAGATGTGAGAGAGACACATCAATTGGTTGCCTCCCACATGTGCCCAACTGGAGCCAGGAATCAAATCTGCAACTCAGGCATGTGCCGTTGACTGTGAATTGAACCTGCGACTCTTCAGTGCTCAGGATGGTGCTGTAATCACTGAACCAAACCAGCTCAGTTGTTGAGCATCGACCTATGAACCAGGAGGTCACCATTTGATTCCCAGCCAGCGCATATACTTGGGTTGTGCAGGAGGAGTGCAGGAGGCAGCCGATTTATGATTCTCATCATTGATATTTCTTTCTATCTCTCTCTCTCCCTTCCTTTCCTGAAATCAATAAAAGCATATCTTTTTAAAAAATGCAACCAATTACTGAATACTTACTTTGTATCTTGCTGCTTTACTGAATTCATTTATCTTTAGGGTTCTCTATATACAATATCATGCCATCTGCAAATAATGACATTTTTACTTCTTCCTTTCCAATTTAGATACCTTTTATTTCTTCTTTTTGATTGCTGTGGCTATGTTGAGTAAGAATGGTGAAAGTGGACACTCCTCTCTTGTTACTGATCTTAAAGCAAACACTCAGTATTTCCCTGTTGAATATGATGTTAGTTGTGGGTATGTCATATTATTATGTTGAGGCATGTTCCCTCTATTCTTACCTTTCTGATAGATTTTGTTATAAATGGGTTCTGGATTTTGTCAATATACTTATTCTGCATTTATGGATATGATCTTATGATTCTTACCCATTTTATTTATGAGATGTATCACATTAATTGATGTGGGGATACTGTACGAACCTTGCACCCCAGGAATAAATCTCACTTGATCATGATGTATAATCTTTTTATGTATTGCTGAATTTGGTTTACTAATATTTTGCTGAGGATTTCTGCATCTATGTTCATCAGGGATATTGGCCTATCACTTTATTTTTTTGTAATGTCTTTTTCCGGTTTTGGAATCAGAATAATGCTGACCTTATAAGATGGCATGAGAGTCTTTCCTCCTCCTGAAAATTTTAGAATAGTTTGAGGAGGATAGGTGTTAGTTCTTCTTTGAATGTTTAGTAAAATTTACCTTTGAAGACATCTGGTTAAGAACCTTTTTTTTTTCTTAATTTATTGATTTGAGAGTTGAGAGAGAGAGATGGGGGGGTGGCGAGAAGGAAGGGAGAGAGAGGGAGAGAGAGACAGAAACATTGATTTGTTTTTCCACTTATTCATGTATTCATTGGTTGATTCTTATTTTTGTTTTGTTAATCCTCACCCAAGGATATTTTTCTATTGATTTTTAGAGAGAGTGGAAGGGAAGAAGAGAGACAGAGAGGGAAAAACATTGATGTGAGAGAGACACATCTATTGCTTGCCTCCCACATGCGCCCTTCACAAGAATGGAACCCAGGACCCTTCAGTCTAAGGCAGGGGTGGGCAAACTTTTTGACTCGAGGGCCACAATGGGTTCTTAAACTGGACCGGAGGGCCGGAACAAAAGCATGGATGGAGTGTTTGTGTGAACTAATATAAATTCAAAGTAAACATCATTACATAAAAGGGTACGGTCTTTTTTTTTTTTTTAGTTTTATTCATTTCAAACGGGCCGGATCCGGCCGGCGGGCCGTAGTTTGCCCACGGCTGGTCTAAGGCCTGACCTCCAAGCACTGAGCCAACCAGCTAGGGCCATTGGTTGATTCTTCTATGTGCCCTGACTGAGGATTGAACTTACAACTTTGGCATATCTGCTTGATGCTCTAACCAGTCAACCCTAGAATGTTTGTTTTCTTGGAGAGTTTTCTTTCCCTCCAAATCAAAACATGGCTTTTTTGCATATTTAAAATGTCACAAATAAGTCTGAAGAATGATTGGGCATCTTGCTGTTTCTATAGCTGGACAACGTAGGTCTTATTCATCAGCCTGCTTAACTGTTCCTTTTTCAGAAATAGATATCATCCCAAATTTTCTGATATTCTTGTTTTTAACTGTTGTGACTTGATGAATCAAAGCAGCTGAATTTGATACAAATTCATTGTCATGTCTATTAAAAATTAACTCATTTTTCTGGACTTGAGTTACTGAACAAGCAACACCTGACCTCATCTGAAACCTGTGGATATATTTTTTGCCCAAGAAGTTTCTGATTCCAATAAGAGAACCATTCTCCTGAATAACGACATTGATGGAGAAGTGAACATACACAAACCTCAACCTTGTAATGGAAGCCCATTGTAATATCCTTGATCATATTCTGTACATGACTGCAGATTGTGTGAATGGTGGCCAGTTCCTTTCTATTTTCCACCATCTGTCAGCCTGGAGCCTCTTCTTTTTCTTCCCAAGGAGACTGTATTCTAGATTGATATGGTTGAAGTTCCTCACAGGGTGCCTCTGGGGCTTTTCACAGTCTCTTCAGAGTGATGTGGACATTTTCTGGAATGTCAACAGTCAGATTGCTGACAATGGTCTTCATCCTCATAGTAGATGCACAAAGAGAGTGTTGGAAGTTTTTCGATTACTTCTTTGATTTCATTGGTTTAATTGGTCTGTTCAGATTTTCTGTTTCCCTTTATGACTCCAGTCCACCCCCAGCAGCTGTTCTCTGGTAGAGACCAAGGTGATTGCCATGTTTGTGCACTGACCCTTTAAGAGAGCGTTCCCACTGCTCACCATGGTGTGTGGAATCCTGCTGATTTTCGCAGCCACATACCGTGTGGGCTCTAGTGCTTTGGGCTAGGTAACCTGGCATGGGGCTGATGCTTCTCTAAGGGAACTCTCACCCAAAATAGCCCAAAGTATTCTCACCCACCGCACATGCCCTTCCTACCTGTTTCGATGCGGGTTCCTCTGTAAATTCTTAGTTATAAGCCTTCTGTTCAGCTAGTGGACAGATGATTATTCAAGTTGATTGTTCCGTACTTTAGTCACTACTCTGATATGGTCCTGGGAAGAGGTGAGTGTAACTTCCATCTATTCTGCTGCCATTTTCAAAATTTCTAAAGGTGACTTTTTTTTTTCTTTTACTGATTTCAGAGAAGAAGGAGAGGGAGAGAGAGATAGAAACATCAATGATGAGAGAGAACCATTGATCGGCTTCCTCCTGCACGCCCCCTGATGGGGATTGAGCCACAACCCGGGCAATGTGCTCTTGACCAGAATCAAACCCAGGACCCTTCAGTCCCCAGGCCAACACTCTATTCACTGAGCCAAACCGGCTAGGGCCTAAAGGTCACAATTTTAATTGGGGTGTTCAGGGAATGATTAACTGAGATGGTGACACATAAGTGAAGATTTGAAGAAGTTGGGGAAAGCCATACATGTATTTGAACAAAGAATAATTTTTGCTAGAGGAAGAGGGAATAAAGGACCTAAAGAATTAATGTTCATTATTTGTTCATGGAGCTATTGATGAGAGAGAGGGGGGCTGGAAGGGGGAGAAAGAGGGAGAGAGAGAGAAAAACATCAGTGTGAGAGAGACACATCCATTGGTTGCTTCCCAAAGGCACTCTGACCTGGGCTGGGGATCGAACCTGCAACCCAGGTACATTCCCTTGACTGGGAATCGAACTTGTGATGCTTTGGTGTGTGGACCGATGCTCCAACCTTTGATCCACATTGGCTAGGGCACCTATGTTGTTTAACATCTGGCCTTCTGCACTAATTTTTGGTATCATTCTGGCAGTAGTGACTTTTGATATCATTTGCATTTGTGACTTTTCTAGTATGCTAACTAGGAAAATGTCTCACCATTTCTGATAGGCAGCTTTTGTAATCTTACATCAGAGTTTTAAAAATTGAGCTAATGCTCTACTTACTATTTTTGTTGGCGAGATTGGGCTTCATTCGTGCTAAAAATGACAGTTCTGCAAACAATATTTTGGGGATTAAATATTCTAAACTTTTTTTGGCCATATCCCTTTACAAAATATCATTACAAAAAGGAGGACCTATTGAATACTTTCAACAGTAAAGATTAAAAGTAAATCATTACATCATAGCTCAATTCTAGTTAATGCCCTTTGGTGTTTATGAGGAACTGAATAATTTATAATCTAGTAGAAATTCCTTATAATGAAGACAGCCTCATAATCACAAATTAATGTTTTAAGTTAAACACAGATTCCTTATCATTAATATAGCATGGCAATATACTGTTAGTAACATATCATACAGTAATATACTTATCATTAAAAAAATATAGTAAGTCCACATAATTTGCCCTTGAAGCTTATAACCAGGTCCAAAAAAAATTCTGGATTTTAAACTTGATCAAATACCACTGACACATTTGAATAGAGTTTTTAATATAATAGTTTTTGTTAACTGGAGGAAGCAGTATTTTTTAAAAATGTAAGAAGTTTAAAATGTATTTTGTTGAGATATATAAGGAGACTTTGCATAATTGGCAGTAAGGGCCAGGAAAAAACTCTTTGTATATTTATAAAGGGATATTTTTTGTATACTCCTTTTACTGAAACAAAAAAAAAATTCCAATTAAATTTCCAATTTCCAAGGAGCAGGCCTTGATAATCAAATCTTTATTTTAAATTGTTTGGTAAATTGTGTCATTTTAGGTGGAGGAAGCTAAACAAGAGTTACAGGAAGTTGTGGAATTCTTGAAAAATCCACAAAAATTTACTGTGCTTGGAGGCAAACTTCCGAAAGGTAAGATATTTTCCCTTTACCAGATTTGCGATAAAAAAAAATAGTGTAATGTATTACTAACTTAATTATTATCAGATTTAACTGGTTAAAGTTTAGTTCTTAATTACTATTTCATAAATAACTGCTCATTCTGAACATACTTTTCTATAAACCTTTTTTGTATAATTTTAAATTTTATCATATAAACTTTAAGTCAGTTTGCAAGAATCTGACAAAGAACACTACTCAACCCATACACAACATTTTGGGTTACTTGCTCATTCACTTTCTTTACATACATGCATTTTTTGAACAGTTGAGAGGAAGTTCTAAATATTACATCATGTATGCTTCTTTATTCCTAAGTAGCTCATTATATATTTCTTAAGAATAAGGATATTTTCTTTACATAACTCCAGTACAGTTATTAAAATCAGGAAACTTAACAATAATCTAAAATTTATCAAATTCAAATTTCAGTATTTGTCCCAATAATAACCTTTTTAGTTAAGTTCCCTCATTGCACTCCCAACCCAGGTTGAGGACCCAATTCATGTTCACATATAACATTTATTTTTTCTTTAATCTGAAAAAATTCCTCAGCTTTTTTTTTTTTTAAACAGGGATAAGGGTGGATTTTCTTATGATCTTCAAAATTGTATAGAGTACACATAAATTTGTAGAATGACTCTCAGTTTGGTTTTGTCTGATGTTTTCTCACAGTTATTACTCAATATGATTTTTTATTTTAAAAAAATATATTTAATTGAGTTTTTAGAGAGAGAAGAAGGGGAATGGATAGATAGAAACATTGATGAGAGAGAAACATCATTAATCGGCTGTCTCCTGCACGCCTCCCACTGGGGATCAAGCCCAAAACCTGGTCATGTGCCCTGACCAGGAATTGAGCCAGGGACCTCTTGATTCATGGGTCGATGCTCAACCACTGAGCAATACTGGCCACGCTCAATATGAATTTTAATTACTGTGTGATATTGTGATTTACAATAAAAAACATATTTGGTCTTAGTCCCTGTTACTAATACAGAGCTCTTAAAACCTGGAATTTCATAGTGAAGAGAGCAATTAAAAGTATGTTTTCACCCTACCTGGTTTGTCTCAATGGATAGAGCATCGACCTGTGGACTGAAAGGACCCAGGTTCGATTCCAGTCAAGGGCACATGCCCAGGTTGCTTGATCACCGGTAGGGGGTGTGCAAGGGGCAGCCGATCGGTGATTCTCTCTCATCATTGATGTTTCTATCTCTCTTTCCTCTCCCTTCCTTTCTGAAATCAATAAATATATATATTAAAATAAAGGTGTGTTTTGTTGTGTTAATGAGGTAACTTTTAGAAAACACCTGAAGATGGGGGCAGGTTGCCAGGAGGACTTATTCTGTGCTTAGAAGGTTGGAACATTTAGTACAATCCCACTACCACCACCCATTTCCCCACCTCTGGGGAGTGAGAAGGGCTTGAGGTTGAATCACTGTTTAATGTCCAGTGATTTAATTAATCATGTCTATGTAATGAGGTCTCCATAGAAACCCAGAAGGATGGGGTTTGCTTGCCCCACCATATAGTTTCTCCAAGTATACATGCTATAATAAACTAGTAATCTACTAAGTAAATGTTTCTCTGAGTTCTGTGAATTACTCTAGCAAATTAACAATACCCAAGGAGGAAGACATTAGAACCTTTGACCAGCTAAAAAGCATAGGAAATAACCTGGTCTTGCCTTTGGGAAAGCTCTCAAGAGGGAGGGGGGGGAACAGTGTTATGGTACTGAGTTCTTAACTTGTGGGAATCTAATGCTTTCTCCAGGTAGGTAGTATAAGAATTGAATTGAATTGTAGGATAAACAGCTGTTATCAAAATTGCTTGTTGATGTGAGGGAAAAGCCCAATATTGGACTTAGGTACAGAATTGTAATGACTTAAAAGTATCCTTCTAGATACTTTAACATTTATATTGAACTTTTAAATTATTTCTTATCTTTTACTATTTAAACTAGCACTGTTGTGACGATCTTAATATATTAAGGCTTTGCTTACATGCTTAATTATTTCCTTAAAACAAATTCTAGATTTATTCATTTGGTATCTGTAAATTATTGTAGATTCCAGTGCTAGAAATGGAGTTAGTGAGTTCAAGAGGCACTACTATATAAGGCTTGTTTTTATACTCTATAGTATCTCTACTGAAACTGTTCACTAGTATCTAAAAATATGTGCATGAATCTTTTTTTTCTCTTTTATGCATGAATCTTTCTTTTTTTAAAAAAATATATTTTATTGACTTTTTACAGAGAGGAAGGGAGAGGGATAGAGAGTTAGAAACATCAATGAGAGAGAAACATCGATCAGCTGCCTCCTGCACACCTCCCACTGGGGATGCGCCCGCAACCAAGGCACAGGCCCCCAACCGGAACCGAACCCGGGACCCTTCACTCCGCAGGCCGACGCTCTATCCACTAAGCCAAACCAGTTAGGGCGCATGAATCTTTCTTAATGTAGAGTTCACTTATTAAATCAGTACTGTAACGTCATAAGGAACATGTTTAAAACAAACAAAAATTATTTTTCTTTCTGATCAAAGTAATATTTTATAAATTTGTGGGTAAATTCTCAGGTACCAAGATATACTCTACAGAAATTGATATGAGGATGATTTAAACCATTTAGGAACAACAATAACATGAAAATACAAGTATAGTCTGCAGGATATTTTGGAGTTTTTCTTAAAGGGAATTTTTTAGCCCTCGCTGGTTTGGCTCAGTAGATAGAGCAAGGGCCTGTGGACTGAAGGGTCCCAGGTTTGAGTCCAGTTAAGGGCACATGCCTGGATTGTGGGCTCGATCCCCAGTAGGGGGTATGCAGGAGGCAGCTGATCAATGATTCTCTCTCATCACTGATGTTTCTATTTCTCTCTCTCTTTCCCTTTCTCTCTGAAATCAATAGAAAAATATTAGTATATTTTTAAAAAGTATTTTTAATATTAATATATAGCATTAATACAAATTTGGTGCTTTTTTGAAATGTCTGAAAAATGAAAAGTTATGTAAACCAGGGAAGTTCTATGATCCTACATCGAAAAACTTGTTATGAAAATTTTCAAACATACAGAAAAATTAGAAAGAAAGCTGTAGACATTACCTACTTTGTTTACATCTAAATATTTTGTTATGCATCACGTAAGAATAAGGACATTGTCCTAAATAAAAATAATAATTTATTCTACCAAATAAAACTAAACACTATTTTCTTAATATCATGAACTCACCAGTATTTTTTCAAATTTTCAACAGATGCCCCTAGAATTTTTAAAAATACACACATTTTTTATTGATTTCAGAGAGAAAGGGAGAGAGAGAGAGAGAGAGAGAGATAAACATCAATGATGAGAGAGAATCATTGATCGGCTGCCTCCTACATGCCCCACACTGGGGATTGAGCCCACAACCTGGGCATGTGCTCTGACCAGGAATTGAGCCATGACCTTCTGGTTCATAGGTCAATGCTCAACCACTGAACCATGCTGGCCGGGCCTAAATGATGTGCTTTTTTATGGAGGTGCATCAGTTCAAGGTTCATGCATTACATTTGTTGTTTAGTCTCTTAAACTGTTTTATGTGAATCTTATTTACTTAGTCATAAGTTTATATTCCTTTCCCCCAAGATTTTGTCCTGTCTATGGCTGATATGTAAACAGTATTTAGATGATACAAGATAATGAGTTATGGAGAAGATCCTGAAGTGAATTATTAGTATAGAGAAATATATTTTGCTATGCTTCAAAATATTAGTCATTGATGTGCTTGTAACCTCAACATTATAAATTAATTATTCATTTTTAAGATTTATATCAGAATTTGTTTTTGTTTTTAATTTCAATTATTCTTGTATACTTTTTTTTAATAGGAATTCTTTTAGTTGGACCACCAGGAACAGGAAAAACCCTTCTTGCCCGGGCTGTAGCTGGAGAAGCTGATGTTCCTTTTTATTATGCTTCTGGATCAGAATTTGATGAGATGTTTGTGGGTGTGGGAGCCAGCCGCATAAGAAATCTTTTTAGTATGTTTAAATGTATCTTTTATACAATACTAATTTTTTTTTTAATTTCAGGGGAAGAGGTTTTTTTTTTTACCCTTTCTTTCTACTTAAGATTGTTATTCAGCTGAACAAAGCTATTTGGGGGTTCTGGTTTCAGAGAATTAAAAAAAATAATTTTTTTTAAAATTGATTTCGGAGAGCAAGGGAGGAGAGAGAGAGATGATGTGAGAGAATTGATCCGCTGCCTCCTGCACACCCCCTACTGGAGATTGAGCCTGCAACCTGGGCATGTGCCCTGACCAGGAATTAAACTGTGACCTCCCAGTACATTGGTTGATACTCAACTTCTGAGCCATGCTGGCCGGGCTGGTTTCAGAGGATCTCATATGTGAGCTAAAACAGAACTGTATTTTTTCCCCAAATACAGTCAGAGTAGCTAATGGAAGTGTTAGATGTAGTTGGGCGCTGCAGAAAAGCTGGGTCTTTTTGTTTTGTTTTTTATTTAGTTCATTTCTATAGTATGCAATTAACCTCAAACCTGATTGTATATAGTTGAAACAAGTAGGAAGAATGAGTGAATACACAGTTGTTTCTATTTACTTGTTTGTTGGTTGATCATCACTGGAGGATATTCTTTCCATCGATTTTTATTTTTATTTATTATTATTATTTTTTAATCCTCACTCCAGGAAATTTTTCCATTGATTTTTAGAGAGAGTGGAAGACAGAGAGAAATACTGATGTGAGAGAAACACATCGATTGGTTGCCTCCTGCATGTGCCCCGACCAGGGGCTGGGCCAGGGAGGAGCCTGCAACTGAGGTACGTGCCCTTGACCGGAATTGAACCCAGAACCCCTTGGTCCACAGGCCGACACTCTAGTCACTGAGCCAAACTGGCTAGGGCTTTCCATCAATTTTTAGAGAGGGTGAAAGGGAGTGTTAGGGGGAGAGAGAAGAGAGAAAGAAACATCTATGTGTGGTTGCCTCCCACACATACCCTGACTGGGGCTGGGGCTCGAACCTGCAACCCAGGTACATGCTCTTGACTGGGAATCGAACCCTTGATCCTCTGGTACATAGGCCGATGCTCTAACCACTTAGTCATGTGGGCTACGGCTGTTTTTAATATATATCATTCTTTATGGTATAATTATTTTTTTCCTTCTGCGGTTATTGTTCTTTTTTTTTTTTTTTTTAGCCACGTGGGGAAGGGGAAAGAATCTTACCGTACAGATTCCCACATGGCGAGGGGAAAAGAGTCCCCTGAGGCTATTGTTCTTCATCAGTGAAAAAAAAAAAAGAACACAACAAAATCTGTTTTGGTGTATTTTCTCCCTAATACTTTTTTTGGCTTTTGACAATTTTGCAGGTTTTTAATATTTATATGATTTTTCATTAAAATTTGAATCTTTTCTGTTTTCCTAGGGGAAGCAAAAGCGAATGCTCCTTGTGTTATATTCATCGATGAATTAGATTCTGTTGGTGGGAAGCGAATTGAATCTCCAATGCATCCATATTCAAGGCAGACTATAAATCAACTTCTTGCTGAAATGGATGGGTAATTGAATCTTCTGTCTTTGGACTGTATTTGGTAACATTCTAGAGAGAGAAAAATCTTATGTTTGTAGGCAACAGTAGTCCTTCATGCAGAAGGTCAAGACAAGCTATTTTCAGGATTGCATTGTTTCTAATTCTAATAGCGTAGTTAATTTATCAACTCATTTAGGTTGGTGAGAGTTGCACTTTTTTAATTTATTATGACAGGGAAGCAGTGATTCCTGCTGACACTATTTGGAGCTATAAAGGGAGAGTATGCTGGTCCCTACACAATTTGTGACCAGATTTTAGTGTTTCGACAGATTAAAAGCTTGCATTAGTATAAAAAGCAAGAGGTGGGGTAGCTTGGAAAGAAGCAAAAATATTTCTTATAACACATTCTGGAACCAAATAGGAAGTTTAGGAGCACATAATTTGAATTGGTAAACTTGAAAATAATTTTTCAAAAATTTAGTCAGGTGCCCAAGCTTCTTGTGTCAAGTCATCTCTTCCTAAGTAAAACAAATATTGTGCAGGTATATAATCACAGATGATTTGGTGATTATATATTAGCAGTTGTAGTGAAGTACACTGTGCTAATATTTGTTTCTTTTAAAAAATAGAGATATCATTTGGGGCATAAAAATACCAATCCTTTTTCTTTGCTGTTATTTTTTTTTAAAATATATTTTATTGATATTTTACAGAGAGGAAGGGAGAGAGATAGAGAGTTAGAAACATCGATGAGAGAAACATCGATCAACTGCCTCCTGCACATCTCCCACTTGGGATGTGCCCCAACCAAGGTACATGCCCTTGACCGGAATCGAACCTGGGACCTTTCAGTCCCCAGGCCGACGCTCTATCCACTGAGCCAAACCGATTTCGGCTTCTTTGCTGTTATTAAGATTAATGATAAACAGTTTTATGTAGAGCATTTATATATGTGTGCTGTTTTAATTTTTAGTGAAAAAGTACTTTTTTTTTTAAATAGTTTTAAACCCAATGAAGGAGTTATCATCATTGGAGCCACAAACTTCCCAGAGGCATTAGATAAGTAAGTATTAAAAGAAAATTTTTGTGACGTACTGATATATGTTTAAACATGGATGAACTTTAAAAATATGATGCTAAGGGGAGGAAGCCCATCACAAAACATCATATATTATGTGGTTCCCTTTATATGAAATGTCCAATATAAGTAAATCCAGGGCAACAAAAAGTAGGTAGATTAATGGTTGCCAGAGGCTGGGGGGAATGAGGAGTGACTACCAGTGGATATGGTTTTTTTGTGTTTTATTTTTGAGGGGTGGTGAAAACATTCTAAAATTAGATTGTGGTGATGGTTACAGAATTCTGAATATATTAAAGAGCTTTGAATTATCCACTTATTTTTTAAATTATAAGAGAAAGTTTATTTAGAAAGTCACAGAAATAGAAAAGGTAAGCCAGCTGGGCTGTGTGGGCACAGCAAAGGAGTCACAGAGGCAAAAGAAGATCACTTGGAGTTTAAGAAAAAGAAATGCTGAGAGAAGGAGCCCGGAGGAAGGGAAATTGCTCAAGAGAGAGGAAGAGCATGCTGGATTATCTACTTTAAATTTGGTAATATGTAAATTATCTCAATAAAGCTGTTAAAAGGCCTTCTGACAACTTATATATCACAAAAACGTTTTTGGGTGGAGAGCACTTTTATTTTAAAAAAATATATTTTATTGATTTTTTTACAGAAAGGAAGGGGAGGGATAGAGAGCTAGAAACATCGATGAGAGGGAAACAT